CATAATGTATTTATTGAAAAAAAGCACCTATTATTCTGTCTTGTTGATGTAGGCTTAAATTTCCATAGCTTAGTGTTCTGGCTGACCATTGGTCAGGCTATATTTGAAGCATTGTATTCAGTCTTGAGCTCCTTACCTTAAAAGAGGTACTGAATTGTTGGAAAGGGTTCAGAGGAAAGCTATTAAGATGACTCCTGGGATGGAAAGATTGCCATACAAGGATAGTTTAAGATCTGATATTTTCTTTTTAAAAAAAAGATTAGTTAGAGGGGGATCTGACTGAGGTGTTTAAGATTGTTAAAAGAATTAAGAGTGTTGATGCATCATCTTTTTGTACTTAATCAGTTAATGATGAGATAATTAAGACTAACAATCAAAAATATACATTTTGGCTAAGACAGCTTTTTTTTCTAACAGGGTGGTACTGTCAGGCCTTCAGATGGGGTAGATGCAGTTCATTTATGGGAGTTTAAGGAAAGGCTTAATAAATATTTGAATGATAAGAGCTGGATTTGAATGTTTTATTTAATTTTTATTTTAAGAGTTCTGTATAGTGGATGAGGCAGCGTAAATGAACCAACAGGTTCCTTGCTGTCCTTAAATTATATGTATATTATAACCACAACTTAAGTATTAAATCTAAAGTGTTGATAAGTGATATTGATAATATCGTTAACACAGCGACGGTATCCAATTAATGAATCATATTTTCATAATCATTCAGTTTTTAATTCATGATACTGCATAGGCCTACTCAGGTATATTACATTAGATGCATTATTTACCAAGTTAAATTTAGTTCTGATCTATTTAAGTAGTTTGCTTTGGTCAGAGGTTATAACTACGTAAGTTTAACTTTAAGTCATATTACTCATTATTAGTCAGTAGCACTAAAATAGTAGAAGTCCATTCAAACGCTTATTTAAATTAACTCAATAACTGTGCTCCACTGCCGACTCTTGACAACAGTGTAGTGCGTAGCTCAAGCGATTAGTTTTACGTAACATATAGTAAATATGAAAGTTTTTGTTAAACTGACTTACCTGAGATAGAGAATAACAACAGTGTCGCAAGAAATATAAATTAATTAAGCCTGATTTATTTTTAAATCATGTATCATATCACCTACAAGATACAATAAATTGATTAACTTACGCGTTCTCCAAGTCTAACATATGGGCAAAGAGTCATCTAGTGGCCAATTATATCCTTTACTATACTTGGAATAAATATTAATTTTCAGGTCTTTGCAGTTATTTGAATCAAAATACGGTTGTTGTTTTTAAAGATAGTTTCCTTCAAAAGAAATAAAATGTAGGGTTTTTTGTTTATCTGAACATTTATTTTTGTAGAGAGTCTTGAAAACACCAACTGATATTTACTAGCTTGAATTGAATTCGCTTCTGATATGGAGTATAAAAACTGCATAGTTAATTATAGGAACTTAAAAAAAATGTAATAACATACCAATCACATTATATCTACTACATCTAGTGGCGATGATGAATGAGGCCTTTCGCCTAATACCTAGACTCATCAGATCGGCCGTAATACAAGGAACATATTACAACTCAATACACTATGTATAGCATCAGTTACTTGAACAACAACTATTACATTGTGAGCTAGATTAAGTTGGAGAACATTAATTTGTTATCAATTTTATTTTAGTCACTACAAATCAGAATTAAATTTATGATTTTTATGAACATGAAGATATTTTTTAACCCAAATTTGTGAGATTGCGAATTCTTCTGTTATTTTGTTATGGTTTTATCTACCATTCATTTATTATTCCTTCTATCGTTTAGTTCAATAATGAATTTTTAGTTACGTTAACTAACGTTGATTTTGAGCATGTAGGTGTTATGAAACTGAAACAAGCTTCCGCTAGCGGTGACATACAGATACTCATATTGTGAAAGACTATGTAGATTTATGGTAATAGCTAGTCACATGAGATGTATCCTCGTGGTCTAACCACTAAATTCTCGATCTTGAAAACAGGTAAGTTCACAATATATAGTTAAAAAGAATTATAGCTAATTATTGGTCGACAGTAAAAACAAAAAGTGTTTACTCGAAAAGAGTTATTTCTCACCCTGTTAAAGGTGTATGTACACCTGTATGAACTACGCTACATTCTTTTTTTATTAAATTATCAGAATATTGTCTATTGATTTGGCAATTTAAATTATAGTAAGATTCAATATTGCCATGACATTGAAGTTAAGAAACTGTTAAAGATTAAACATGAAAATTAAATAAAAATGAATTGAATCTGTGTACTAATTAACCGAAATTTATCTAACTAATAAGTGCTATCGATTATGTTCCTCTTGCTTTAAGATTTATTGCGATACAAATAAACAGAAACGCAATTAGAAACGTAAAAGACTAAAAAGACACGAAGAGATATAAGTTCTTCTCGCACTGTTACCGCCAAAAAGAAAAATCGCGATTCGAACTTTTGAAACATAGGCGCTTTACAAGAGTGATGGCTAAATCCCACAATTAAATTAGAATACCCCACAAGTTGGCGATGTTGACTAGCTGCCTTCTCTATAGTCTTTGTTTGTTTGTTTGAATTTATGCACAAAGCTACACAATGG